ATATATATATATATATATATATCCAACCATATACACACACACACACATATATATATATATACATATATATATACAAAATATATATATATATATATATATATGCATACATACATACATATATACATATACACACATACACACATAAAATACATACATATATACACACACCCATACACACATATATATATAGGCACACACATACACATATACAGTAATAATTATTAACCTTTTCTCTTATAATCTACCTTACCTTCCCCACATAATATATATATACATATATACACACACACTCATATATATATACATACATACCCCACACATACACCCTCACATGTAAAAAAAAAAAAAAAAAACATAAATACATTTATACACCAACCTACACATTCCTCAGTGCAAATACTCTAACCAACACATAAATAAATATATATATATTTACACCAACACTGATAACACTATGCAGGTAAACAATACACACTTATATCGTAAGTATGACCATTATGCAATAAAAATACTAATCTATTAAAAATACAGCGACATATCATTATCATTTAAAGTATACGACCCCCTACACTAAGTTAAATTTATAACGGTGTTTACAATTTACTGTCAGTTCATATCTTTGATTTAAGAGATCAGCCTTGTTTTTAAATCTAATAATTTCAAATTTTTCATTAAGGCATAGGTAACATGGGGTATATAGGGAGTTACATGTACGAGCTTTCGTAACCAAACTCCATTTAATCGTAGGTGTTTTGTTCTTATCTTTTAGATATTCTGCTCTACTTTGTATTGAGCACTCTTTTAAGAATAGTAATTGTTGGTTATTGGAATTCATTCCCCCTGTATACCAATTATATACTTTTTCATATATATATATATATATATATATATATATATATATATATATATATATAATATATAAAAACTTAAACACTAATATTCCATGGCCATAATTTATTCCATTGGAATCGTAAATACGATCCAATTCATCAGACCTTAGTATTTAAGCCTTTTTATTATATCCTTACTCTGTCCTGGACATTGAGTTCTACCTGGATTCTATCCTCTTGAATTTATTTTTTATACTAATATATATGTATGTGTATGTATGTATGTATGTATATATATTTATATATATTTTAGATATATGATTGCATATGTATGTGTATCAGGTCATCCCATAAGTTCTGTCCGAATTTTGAATAAAGAAAACAAGTGATCAAATGTTACATTTAAATACAGATTCAATCAACAATGTATTTTCCCTGATTATCTATGACTTCCTTCCATCTATTAACAAGCATACGAATTCCATTACTGTAAAATTCTTTTGGCTTTGATTCGAAGAACTCACAAATGTCAGTTTTAACCTCTTCCTGTGTTACAAAACCTGTTTCTTCCAAATGATTCTGTAAGCTACGAAACAAATGGTAGTCTGAAGGAGCAAGATCGGGAGAATAAGGTGGATGAAAAATTTTCTCCCAACCAAGTTCTTCGATCTTTTGTGACGAGATTCTTGCTGTGTGGGGTCGTTCATTGTCCTGATGAAACATCACCTCTTTTCCATTCACTAGAGCAGGTCTTTTTTTCCTCAAAGCTTGAAACGCTCTCTAAATGCTGACAGTATTTTGAGCATTAATTGTTGCATTAGGTTTAAGTTCAAAGTGGTTATTCAACTAATAACCATCCCACCAGATTGAAAGAAACCTTTTGCCCATGAAGTTCCCTTCTTGGCTGTGGCTGGGTCCTTCCCTTTACCAAGCCACTGTCTACTACGCTTCATTTTGATAAAAGATCCATTTTCGTCGCCAGTCACAAGTCTATCCAAAAAAGGTGAAACAAGTTGGCGAGAATGGAGAGAAGAGCAGATATCAACTCGGGATTTGAGGTTGTTTTCAGACAATTCATGAGGCACCCATTTTCCAAGTTGTTGAAAATGACGATGAACAGTTGTATGGTTTGAACTGAGAACCACTGCCAATTCCTCAACTGATAAAGCAGGATTTTCTTCAAGGGCTGCTTATATAATATTTTTCATCAAGCTCAACTGGACGTCCGGTTCGATCTTCATCTTCAAGGATGAAATCTCCACCTCTGAATTTTGCAAACCATCTTCTGCAAGTTCTTTCATTCACACATTCCTCTCCATAAACTGAGTGAATGTTTCTAGCCGCTTCGGCTGCTGAGTTTCCTTTCTTGAACTCATAAAGCATTATGTGCCGCAAATGATTCTTGGGTACTTCCATGCTAGCAGGGTTTTAATCAAACAAAATTTAATTTTATTGTTCTCTGAAATAAAAATTGATCAGTTTAAATGCATGTAAACATAAAAATAATGTTCAGCTCCATCAGACATTATAAAATACTCTTTAAATTTCGTTCATTTTAACAAAAAGTTAAAATTCGGACAGAACTTATGGGATGACCTAATATATTTACCACTAATATTATCTATCTATCTATCTATCTATCTATATATATATATATATATATATATATA